ATGCAATATACATTTATAATTCTTAATTCTTCTTGGGGCCAGCGTGATCGAGATAGTAAAGTCTATATATATATATATATATATATATATATATATATATATATATATATATATATATATATATATATATATATATATATATATATATATATATATATATATATATATATATATATATATATATATATATGTTAATCATCACGATATGGCATTTATAATTTTTATATATGTTAATCACCGTAGGTAAGTATTTTTTTAGTGAACAGGAAAAGTTGAGACTGAGTCGGATTCGAACCGGCGACCTCTGGGTTACAAGCCATATATATATATATATATATATATATATATATATATATATATATATATATATATATATATATATATATATATATATATATATATATATATATGTTTACGAAACACAAACAGTGCTCAATACCATATAGATAGAGCGTAATATAGTTTTTCGTTTTACCTCAAAAAACCACAACAGTCTGTTTCATCCGTATATATAGGAATCATCAGATGATTCCTATACGGATGAAATATACATATATATATATATATATATATATATATATATATATATATATATATATATATATATATATATATATATATATATATATATATACGCGCATAACAATATGAAGACAGGGCATTTGTAGGCTTCTTAGCTTAAAGCTTAAAGGGGCATTTATAATTCCTCTTTAATTGCTGAAAAAAAGGGCACTTTTATACCACAAAAAGAGCACATTCTCTCTTTGCACAAAAAGTGTGGACACCTGCCCCAATGTCCCCTCTCCCGGTTCGGTGCATGCAATTGGCCAGAGGGCCTGATTTTGTAGTTGCATTTTTCTCGGCTGCTGCCGATTTACCGCCGAATTTTTCGTCTACGAAACCTGTCAACCGATTAATTCTATCGAGTTCTATCAGCCGAAAGGTTGTTGGGGCCAGCGTGATTGAGAAAGTAAAGTCTATCGCCCGTATTCTAAAAGCTCACTCACTCACACTCAATGAGTGGAGGTTCAATCTGAGCTTCTCTCGAGTGTCATTGCTGTTTTTGAATAGCTGGATGGTTAGTGTCATACCTTACTATGTGACTACTCACCCTCCAGCAATTCAAAAACAGCATTGACACTCAAGAAAAGCTCAGATTGAATCTCCACTCATTGAGTGTGAGTGTGAGGAGCTTTTAGAATATGGGCGTATATGTGTGTGTATGTATATGTATGCCCAAAATGTTCTTAAATACTGCAATATTTAGAAGACTAAAGTACAAAGGTCCATTTCCACTTAAGAAAAATTTCCACGGACCAAACATTTTCCGAAAATATCAATGTTAAAATTAGTAGTTGAAAATTTTCAACTTCAAAATTTTTTCCGACGAAAGAAAATTTGTCTTTGGGCCTTACAGTAAAAGATTTATTTCGGAAATTTTATATTCCTAAATTGTTTCAAATATTCTTTTTTCCACAGTCTTCACATACTGTATATATCTACTAAAACTGTCTGTACCAGTGTGGGTAGTACCAATGTGAAAATGCTGTGCCGAGTGGTTATATTACTACTATCATAATATTCGTCTTTCCGATCCGAAATTTTTGCGACAGTTTTATTTGAAAAGACTGGCCATGAGGATTTCTGAAACAATACAGTCTTAATAATGTTTGAAGATGATTCGTTAAATTAACATCCGTTCTATGCAATTAAAGAAAGTGATATTCAGTAATTTACATGCCTAATATGAAACGTGGGCGTATATAAGAATGAGAACTCGTTCTGACCGATTTTCACTGAGGCATTTTAGTTACAACAGATGCTGGTAAGCTTCTGATTAGTGTATAGTATCGACTTTAAGACGTTTAGATCGGCATTAGCTAGCTAAGTTAAGCTAAGGCGTTTAAAAGAACATAAAAAACTGAGAATATCATTATATAAAAGATAGATCGCAATGCCTAGTAATAACACGGCTACAACTGTCACAAAACACGTCATTCGATGGGTTGTGGAGCGAGGTGACGAGCCACAAGACTCAGCAAATGTTATGATGATAATAGGGCCCGTTCTAGCTTTGATTTTCGTGCTGATAACCGTGACCTGCTGCCTTGCTCTGGGGTGGGATTTGATGAAGCCGGACAGTAGTGATGACGCTGTGGACGAGGAAACGAAATCTGGTTATACTTCATTCTAAACAAGTGAGGGGTTATACATTCCTAACTAAACTAAACAGTTAGTACTGGATTAATTTGGTTTAATTCCCCCTCTAATAAAACTTTATTCATTCTGGATAACTCTATCAGTTCTAAACTGTTCTTCCTACTGAGGTCCAGCAAGAATCATCTCTTATTGATCCAGTATCATCTAAAGGAGGAAACCTAAACTAAACTAACTATATTTATTCCGGATAGTTGTATCAGTTCTAAATTGTTCTCCCTAAAGGTCCAGTAAGGATCATCCCTTATTGATCCAGTGTTACTACACAAGAGGTGAGACACCCCCTCCCTCCCGCCCCCCAGTCGTCAGGTAGTCGGCAAAATATTGCACCCCAGTTGGCAAATAGTCAGCAAAACATGCATTGCATAGGAAGAAAAAATCTAAAATATTTGAGTTACACTCGGTCACTGATTAAAGGCTAATAAGGTCGCACTGGATCGATAAGAGATGATCCTTACAGTAAGCTAGATCATCTCTTATTGATCCAGTGTCACTACAAGATGATAAAATTTTATTCTTCTCAATCTAGGGGTGTGCAAAAGACAGACAAATAATACAGAAGCCTGCAAGTTTGGAGGAATTATTTATTTTAATTAAATTAAACGATACATTCAAATATAGTATACTATTCTCATAATATGCCGTAATTATTACTTTATACGACGTTGACGTTGTACAAGTTGAATGGCGATGTAACAAAATAATTGTTTTTTTGTGAAAAACACCGCGGCAAAGCCGCTTTCGAGCCGTACGCCTAAATTTTCATGAGTAAGATAAATATTGCGGGTTTACGGATGGAAAGCTCAGCTGTGGCTAAACACCGGTAAAAACACAGCTCATCTAAATACATTTATTAGAGAGTCTAAGATTTACGACGCGAAAACACGGAAAATCTTCATGTGAGACAAAAAGTAGGAACAATTTGTGATCCCAGGATTATCCTCAATACTAGAAAAAATTCTCACAACTTGTCAACAAGATGTGTTCGCAACAGGCTTGCAGCAAGCTTGTCAACAAGTTGTAACATTGCTGTTATTTTATCAAGTTGCTACAAGGTTGTCACTCACAACTTGTTGCAAAATTGTTGAATTGCAGGACGATAACAAGTTGTTGAGACAACCTGTAACAAGTCTGTTGAGCTTGAACAACCTTGTATCACGTTGTCAACAAGTTGGGAACAAGCAGTGCGAACACATCCTGATGACAAGTTGCTGGAACAGCATTGCTACAAGTCTGCGGCTAGGATTGTCACAACTTGTCCGTTTATTCGCGTGTATCTCTTGAGCTCTCTATTACAAGCGTGTTGTGACGTAGCCATTCTATGTTTGCTTAAATATATATGCTGCATATACAAATACTATAATCAATAAATAACTCGCTAAAAATTTGAACGTCGTTTGTTTAATTTACAACGTGTGCTTTTTATATATGTTCTGCGCGAAGCGCCCATGCTTAAAGTTTGAAACTTTTTTGATGAAAGAAATATAAATGCTTACGCTCGACACAGATTAAGTATGAGCAAATTTGTAACTTCTGTAAAAAAGTTGTCCCATAGTCGCCATCTTCCTAGCGGATGTCCAACTCGCATGATCATTCGTCATTGCTTCCATGCCCTTCTAAGGATCTGTTTATATGGAGGCCAGTTACCCGGCAACGGCGAGTTCCAGGCTATTATAGAAACTTATAGCAATCCCGGGCGACTGTTTACATTATGCAGCTGAGTAACTCGCTTTGGCGAGTTGCCGGTAGAAAGAGTACACTCACGAAGCAAAAACGTCGTCACCCCCTCTCCCCCAGTTAAATGTTGTTATATTAAACAGCGCCGGGGAAACTTTCGGTAATTTATCATGACACAAGTTCAATAGCTTCAGTAGCTCTGGGAAGAGAATGAGACTGGACAGCGACTGCCTAGGATGCCAAAGCAAGCATAATTTCGCCATAGCGATAGCATAAACAACGACAACAACAACAACAACGACGACGACGACGACGACGAACAACAACGACGACCACGATGACGACGACGACGACATCGATAACGACGACGACGACGACCACGACGAACAACAACGACGACGACGAACAACAACGACGACCACGATGACGACGACGACGACGATAACGACGACGATAACGACGACGACGACCACCACGACGAACAACAACGTCGACGACGAACAACAACGACGACCACGATAATGACGACGACGACGACCACCACGACGAACAACAACGACGACGACGAACAACAACGACGACCACGATGATGACAACGACGACATCGATAACGACGACGATAACGACGACGACCACCACGACGACAAACAACAACGACGACGACGAACAACAACGACGACATCGATAACGACGACGACGACGGCAACCATATCTACCCTGCCATTACCAACATGCGATCCTGAATCCAGCTTGATCGCGCTATCCAGTTTTCCTTTTCGTATCGATCAGTGTCTCCACAACATAATCTCGTTCACTGGTACACTCTTCCAATCTTTCCAATCGCTTCAAAATCATCCGCGTTAACACAAAATCCTTTGTGATCCTCAATTTTTTCATTTTCGACAAAATCTATTTCGATGAAGCTGTCCAACGATCCTTCCTTGGACCCCATACTCATCCTTACATCGCATTGTGACGTCGCAGACTGCGTATCGCTGTCCACATAGTTTGCCGGCGCAGCGGCTGAAAAGTATCCCGCATCATTAATGCTTATCCCTGACGAGCAACGCTTTGATACATTATTGTCCCCATAGTCCAACGAACTCGTGTCTGACACGTGACCGTCTAAAACTACGACGTCATTATTGTTTCCTCGGTGGCAAAATTCCTCATTTTGATTGGTTGAAACTGAAACTATGACGTCATCACGGTCTCCTTGGCGGGAAGATCTTTCACACTGATTGGTCGAAAAACAAGTTTTTATGCCGGCATTTCCTGTTTCCATTAGTCCAGAAATCTGAATGTCTATATCAGTATACTCGTACTCATTCTCCACGCGGTATATAGCCGTGCTGTCGCCAGCTTTCAAAAAGTCTTGGGAACAAACTTCGCTCCTATTTCTCGTGTCCAGACCTCTTGGGAAATGTTCTTGATAAATGGCCAAATGAGTAGACGATCTATTGTAATTTTCTGCATATACTTCGACCGCTAAATCAAGGAAGCTGCACGCTCTTGAGCTGAGGAGCCGATTTGAATGGCGACGTAGTACCGGCACAAGATCCCCGGAGTTTTCATCTATGGGAGATACGACTATTCTCTCCGGTAGTGTAAGGACGGGGATGCCAAGTGCCGGTTGTAAGAGATACCGTACCAGTGAAATGAGGCAAGCGGCGATGAAGAGAATTGCGCCACAAATGAGAAACGGAACGTGGTAGCTTCCTGTCTGAGTATATAACCAACCTGGTGGAGAAACAAATCATTAATTCACGCAACTTAATTAACAACTGGACAGCATTTAGCAATTTACCAATTTAGTGCGTGCGTATATTTGCTATCGTATTTATTAAAAATATACAGAGTTTAGAGAAATTTAAACGTACGTCTACATAATCATCAACCTCGTACCAAGGGCCTGCATTTGGTAGCCTGCGAACAGGCTCTCAAGCTGAATTGAGAGCCTGCATCGATGACTAATGAATTTGAATATCTGCCCCGTAACGTTCGTTTTTCCAAATATGGAATGTCTATCCTTATATGGTGTTGTTTACAACTTTCGTGAAACTAAATTTAGACCGTGCAAACTAAATTTAGACCGTAAAGTTTATACTGTTTTTCGAAATATAAGATATTCAAGCAAAAGTTTAAATGTTTTAAATACTGTTTTCTCAAAACAGAACATTTCGTGCTTTGAGATAAGATGGCCAAGACGAATTTGATCAGTTAATGTGTTTTTATGCATAGTGCTTCAGCAGTTGACATATATAGAGCTCAGCGGAATAATATAAATTATAGCATCTGACCAATGAGAATTTCGCGTCACGATTTGAGACGCAGATATTCAAATTCATTAGTCATCGATGCAGGCTCTCAATTCAGCTTGAGAGCCTGTTCGCAGGCTAGCATTTGGCGGCCATATTAGAAAATCGGGCGGGCAGGCCCTGGGTACGAGGTTGCATAATCGTAGGTTCGTTGATCAGTTCCGAGATAATTAGACAGTTCATTGCGGGTTAATGGGTGATTCCAGGTGTAGACTACATTTTGATCAAGGCAAGAAGGACGAAATCCAACACCACAACTAGAAAGAGCGTCTTAGAATGAGTAAAACTGCAAAGATTGGTTGCTCAATGTTGTAACACGAAGAAAATATAGCCCTGTGAAGTTCGCAAATTTTGCCGTGATATATTTGTATTACACGCGGGAAAAATAACCACTTTCGTCTCAAAAATGCTTATTTTTCTCGTGCGTAATGCAAATATTGAAATATATAAAAAATTTGCGAACTTCACAGGGCTATCCTTTTCCGGCTGATAATTTCAGCAAACTATAAAACAAAAGTTATTCCGAATAAGGAGTGCATAATATTAACACACAATTTATTAAAACTGTATATTTCGAATCTAAATCAGATTCATCTTCAGCAGTGTTTTGCAAGATACTGTATGTCCAACATATCTTGCAAAACACTGCTGAAGATGAATCTGATTTAGATTCGAAATATACAGTTTTAATAAATTGTGTGTTAATATTATGCACTCCTTATTCGGAATAACTTTTGTTTTATTTTCACAGGGCTATATTTTCCTCATTTTCAATACAACATTTCGCAACCAAACTCTTTCCAGCTGTGGGAATGGATTTCGTTCTTAGCTTCTCGTCTAGATCAAAATTTCGTCTATAACTGGAAATTATATCCATATATATTGCATCCGAATTTAATTAACCAAATTTAATCTGTTTGTCCTTGGGCAATGTTCATTACACTAAAACCCCGCATATAAGAACCCTAGAATTTAAGAACCTGCATGTTAGGCTAAAATATTTTATTTAGAAGCTGTTCATGCTAGAATTTAAAAACAGATGCTCGTATATTATCAAATAGAGTCAAAATTAAGTCGTAAGTTACAATCAGTGTGGCTTTAAAGTACACTGATATATAGAGTTGGTATAGTGCATATACTGTCATTTTTTAGATCATTGAGTCTCGAGAGCCGCTTTTCTCTTAAGAATATAAGAACCTATTTACCCTAATTTCCTGGTAAGCACTATTTACAAGAACCTGTTTAGGCTAACTTGGAAAATCTAGGTTCTTATATGCGGGCTTTTATTGTAGGTCTCTCACAAATCTTCATATTACATAAGTTAAGTCCAAGGGTGGGTTGACTACAAAATTTTTGTAGTTCGCTATAACTACAGCTACTTCAAAAATATGTAGTCAGCTACAACTACTGCTACTTTTGAACAAAGGTAGTTCGCTACTGACTACAGCTACTGCTTAAAAAATGTAGCGAACTATTTCGCTACGCTATATTTTTTAGTTTTACTGTATTTGGATCGGAGCATCTACTAACTCAGACTGAAATGTACCTATAACAAATCGACTTACGAGTAGCAACAGTAAACACAAAGCAACATTTTTTGTAAGCACTACAGTGTTCAAGACTGCAAATTGACTATTGAGTATGGATTTTAAGCAAACCGTTTCTCAATATCATGCTATTCTATCAAGTTGCTAACAATTTTAAAAAGTAGCGAATAGCGATTTGCTGTTTGAAAAGTAGTCAACTATACTTGGCTACTTTTAGGCAAAATGTAGTTCGCTATAACTACAGCCACTGATTTAATAAAGTAGTCAAAAACTATTGGCTACTTGAAAATTATAGTTCGCTACAGTAGCGAACTACAACTACTACCCACCCTTGTACATACTTCGCTACTACCCACCCTTGTACATAACCTTGTGGAATTAAAGATATGTAAGATATTACCAAGCAAACTTACCCGCGAACGGGGCGCCAAATGCATACGGGAAAGCCAACATCTGGAAGAGTTGCCCTATGGCCTTCATCGCCTGACTTTTGTCCCAAAACACATCGTCAACCACGATTGCGAGTAAACACGCGAACGCACCATCGAACACGCCAAACGCCAGACTGTACGTGACCATGCTCGCAGTGTTGGTAGCCAGCGTGCAAAGTGTGGTGGCCAAGCATTGCACCAGAAATGTGATTTGGTACAAGGTTATCCGGCTGACCTTTCGGAATCCCGACACCTTTCCGACAATAACCCGACCGATAAAGGAACCGGTTGATATGAATAAAGGTAATCTCTCGCTTTCTGATCTAGCGACGCCTTGGTGGATTGCATAGTTCACCTGTAATGATGTCAAGAGGTGTTCAAAAAAAACAACTGGACACCGTTTGATTTCGTGTAACGTAAAAGCTATGAAAGCTATCGCAATGAAATAAAGATCATTGCATTCAGAAAGGACTAACTTAAATTTTGATATATAACACTTGAATTTACATGCAATATTGAGCGAGATACAACCAAAATAAAAATATTTATTATTTAACAAGTATAACTACATCGGTAATTATAAGGTTAGTTTTATGCTGATTCTTGGCATTTTCAAAAACATGCAGCAGTTCAACGTTCAAATATCAGTAGCGCAGTCCAAACGCGCGAAAACAGTTGTAAGAAGCTTGTTGATATTTTCAGACTTATTACAAGGTTGTTCCAACAAGTCCGATACAGTCATGATATAACAGTATTGTTACAACCTTGTGTCGTCAATCTTGTAACATTCTTGTTATATCACGACTGTATCAGACTTGTTAGAACAACCTTGTACAACTGTCTGATAATGCCATCAAGCTTGTTACAAGTTGTTAACAGCTTGTTTCAAACTTGTTACAACAACTGGGAACAAGCAGTGCGAACACAACTTGTCGACAGCTTGTGAACAGATTTGTAACAACTAGTGTTTGCAGACCTGGAACAACTTGTGTGTTTTTACGTATGCAGTGCAAAAATCTTTAATTCACAGTTTTATTGTGAAACACAAATAATAATTGAAAAGCTTATTACAGTCTCAGCTATATAAACTCCGAAATAGTCAATACACCAACGAATGAGATACTTACGATGTGACAATACGGAATTGAGCTCACGAACGCGCACAACAGAATAGTAATACTCAACACCACGAACGCGCGGTTTCGCCAAGGGCTTGGAATCGAAGATCTTATTCCCTTCAAATTTGGTTTCCATGACAACAACTTCCTCTTCTCTGTTTTCCCGCTCTTTTCAGATTCCTGTTGAGCTGGTATCATCACCATGGAAACGATGACGAGAGCAAGCGTGATGTAACTTAATAGCTCCATGGCTCCGCGCCATCCACGTGACTCGACGAATATGGGTAGGATGATACCAAATAGGATTCCGCCCGCCCCACTCCCAGCGCTAGCCAAACCCATCGCGGTGTCCTTGTGTTTTTGGAAATTTTTCCGTATTATCCAAATGGCACTAATGTAGCAAAGATTACCGCCCATGCCATACATGACACCAAATGTCATGTAAAGGACCCAGATTGAGCTGGCTTTTGATGAGAGGTAGAGCCCCAAAAACGCCAGCAATGTCCCTGTACAGCTGACAACACGCGGGGGGATGCAGCTCAATAGGCGAATGCTCAGAGGACTCACGATCATGGCGAAGGAAAAGTTTATACCAGTTATCCACGCTAAGAGGAAAAGAGAATCAAGGTGTTAGCCAGGGCCGTAGCTAGACGCGATAGTTGGGGTGTGTATATTCATATATTTATGTTCACATACCGTAAAAACAATCGCTTTCAAAAGAAATCCGTCGGGCAATTTTTTTTCAATGTTCTAGTTGCGATGAAGTGTTCAAAACCTAAAATCTTTTTGGCGTTCCTCTTAATTAAAATTACTTTGTTTCAGCTTTATTTTGTAGTTTACACAGTTAGCAACATTTTAAATGTATCTGGCGGTTGAGAAACACAAAATAATAGTGAAATATTGTCAATTTAAATGCAATTATCGTTGATGCTGTAAAATTGACGCCATATTTATACAGCAATATAAGCAAAACTTACTGAACTTCAGACGCCATTTTCTCTTTGGCGTACCATCTCAAATCTCTTCATTTTAGCATTATTTTACAGATAAAGCACTAAACATTCTTTCTAAGTTTGTTTGCCGCTTGAGAAACGTTACGCTATAAAAAATTGATCTTTGTGATGTTACTCTGAGTGTATATCCATACCGGGTGAGCTTGAAAAATATGCCCGGCCACGGTGGGAATCGAACCTACGACCTTTGGAATACTAGCCCACTTACTCGAAATATCACTTACTCGAACCGCCCTGACCGCGTAGCTCAGTTGGTAGAGCATTGGGTTAGTATTCCAAAGGTCGTAGATTCGATTCACACCGCGGCCGGGCATATTTTTCAAGCTCACTCAGAGTAACATCACAAAGATCATATTCACCTGAGTACACAACACCAACACTGAAAACTGAAAAAATCGTATAAAAAATTTAAAAATTGAATATAGTCATAATCAAGTGGGAAAGTATATTCGTTAGTTTTTCAAAGTTTTGAGCGCGTGTTACGTAACATACAAAAGATTCTCCGCTTTAATTAATGAAATTAGGAAATTTGGTTAGCCCGCGACATTCAGACTCGACTTAAAAGTGTCTCCAATTAGGAAAGGCATCGATTTGCAGATTTGCTAAGCTAAATTGAAACCTTTTAAGTGACATTGGTTTGCGTGCTAATATATTTTTTAGGCCACGACGTAAAAACGCGCAAGTTGTTACAGCAAACAAGTTATAACAAGGTTGTTGTTAAGTCGATATCGGGATGTGTTCGCACTGCTTGTTCCCAGTTATTGTGACAAGTCTGGAACAAGTTGTTATCACCTTGTCACAAGGTTGATGACGGTAACAGACTTGCTACAAGTTGTTCCAACAAGAATAATACAGGCTGTTCGTAACAAGTTGCTACGAGCTTGCTGTCATCAACTTGTTGACAACTTGTTACGCGTGCAGACGATATCAGACTTATTGGACTAACAACTTGTTGCGAGTCTGTTAGCCTCATCAACCTTGTTACAAGATGATAACAACTTGTTCCAGACTTGCCACAAGCCCACAACAACTGGGAACAAGCAGTGCGAACACATCTTGTTTTCCTTTAGATTTTCTCTTGAAATATTAAAAGGCCAATAAGAGACGATCCTTACTGTGGACCTCTAGGAAGTACAGTTTAGAACTGATAGAGCTATCCAGTATTATATTTATAGTGTAAAGTTGATTTAGTTTATGTTTCCTCCTGTAGTAACACTGGATCAATAAGAGATGATCCTTTCTGGACCTGGAAGAACAGTTTAGAACTGATTGAGTTATCCAGTATAAATAAAGCCGGTTAGTCTAGTTTTCCTCCTGTTGTAACACTGGAACAATAAGAGATGATCCTTACTGGACCTCCAGGAAGAACAGTTTAGAACTGATAGAGCTATCGTATGTTCTCGATTTTTAAACAAGTTCTGTCATACGAATATCCGGAAATCTAACAAGATGTTGCAATATTTTGCAATTTGCGGTTTCTACTATGTTAGCTCCACACGACGCAACGGTTTTGAATCAGCCAATCAGATGCGGCACCTTACACCGTTTGAACTTGGCTGTGTCTAATTATGTGGAACCGGAAAAGTACTCGATCCTTGTGCCCACGTGAACCGCAGGTGTGGGGGGAATTCACATGACTTGTATGGAATTCAAGGAACCTCTTATTGGCCTTTTTCAAAACATATTATATAATTATATACAAAGTTTCTTTTATTCTAAAATACGCCTAAAATGTTCCTTATATAGGAATACAGCTAATTGTATAGGAAACAGGACTTAGAATAGATTAAAATATTTTTTGTATTACTAGCTTAGTTCTGAGCAGAAAACAGGTTTTAAACGACACGTCGCTAAATTGCACAACACTTTGCAACGCCGCCTTGCGACTAAAAGTCAGCTGAAAATTAGAGTAATTAATGTTAGGTTAAAGACGTTTTCCGTTTCGAATTTTTTTCTTGGTGTTTAATAAGCATGCTTCCAAGGCCTAAGAGTTTTTTGAAGAAGATATTGATCAACTATAGACATATAACTGGTTTATTGTGGCGTGTGTATGGAGAACACTATTTAATAAGACTTTATAACTCTTAAGTACAAAATTGTGGGGGAAAAGGTCTATTTGAGACGTTTATAAGCTAAAACCTATTCGCAAACGAATTCACTTGTTATTTAAAACTTTGTTTATATATGTAAATTATAGCTTACAATATATAACTAGTTTGGTATCTTTAATTACAACTACAAGCTAGCCAGGCGATATTTTTACTCTAAAATTCTATGGAAACAAATGTGTTAAGACAACATTTTTATAAGGCAATGGAAAGTCTAAACCTATTCTAGAGAATGCCAGGCTTTATAATAACGCCGGTTTGGCCAAGCATATAGGCAATTCAATACGATAAACTTTACTTTAGCGAGAAATAAAATCTCTCTATTAACGTTTTTCTAAAAATTGCGCTTTGTTAGTATGTAGCCTTTTTGGCGCCAACTGCCTCAAGTCGCTCACAAAATTGGCATATAATGCGCCAGAAAAATAGGTTAAATGTATTGATTATATTCGATATATATTAGCCGGTTGAACTTCAGAATTTTGCCGGAATTTGCATATACTTCATGCATAAATTATGAGCGTCAAACACAATATAAACATTGTCAGAAAAAACTACAAGCTTAAAATGTACAGCTTACCGACTTCGCTTTCTTCGCCAGGAAACTCTTGTAAAAGGGCCACGTAGAAAATTCCGAACGAGAACACGACTCCAAAAAATACGGCATGAAATAAAAACGCCGAAATCGCTTGTAGCCAACAGTATGGGCTATCGACTTGTAGTTGTAGACTCATTAGAATTCCGACTGAGTACAATACAATACAATACAAGTATTTCGTAAATGGCTATGCGACGGATTAATCCGTACAATGAAATTTGTTATAAAACTTTCAAGTTCACTTCAAAATTGGAAAAACGTCGCAGAATTTTGCACTCTACACGTCGCTAATGCTCGTCGGTTTAAACTAACGAGTTGACAGCGAAATATATTTTCTTCTCTCGAGAGACGCATACTTGTATGACCGCTTTTAGAACAGGGTTCGTAACAGCACGACCAGTCTTGTTTGACTAGATTAGAATATAAACAATGGCCGTTTCGATTTCCCATGGATTTAAAAGCCTGGTTTATACACTATCAAAGTTTCTGTCGTAGTTGTGGAAATTTTGCATAGATAAATTTTAAGTTTTAAAGGATTTGTAAGAAATGTTATGAGGCCTGACTGAGTCGGTGCTTAATTAACACTGAGTGGGTCCCTCAAACATTTCTTACAAATCCTTCAAAAATCAAGACCAAAATTTACTCATACTGTGATCACATATAAGCTTTGATAGTGTAAATCAGCCTTTAGTAGAGAAATTTCGGTCTTATTTTAAACGAAATAATCTGAGGATAATAGGGTGTAATATAAGAGCGTTTCTAATGTATACTTTTTGCGAGGGTTTGTATTTAATATGGGATATTATATGTAGAATTTTAGGGACAATTATTTAAGCAACTTCATTGGCAATGAAGGAAAGACCATTTCCTGTGATAGGCTTTTATATATGTGTATATTATTAAGCCTGCCTAGCCACGTTCATGTAGAGTCAAAAATTCTATTCAATCTCCGAAAAACGAGGTCGAGAAGGCATTTAAAATGTACATAAAAGAATAATTTTTAAACCCACGATTTGTATTTATAGGAAAGTGGTCTATTAAAAAGTTTCGAGCGAGCATTGAAACATCAAGAAGAGTTTTAAAACAGCAGCCGTATATGTTAACCTTTTAACCATTTTGATAGGTACATATATGAATTCCAATCTTATGTACTTTCGACCATCGAAGACTAAACGAGTCATAATAATTAAGGGGGTACTTGAACGATACACTTGAAAGAACAATAGAACAGTGGACAAATTTGCCACCGAGAAAACTTGTTTAATATCTTGTTTAATTAATATTAAATTATAGGCGCCCTATGGGTGCGATCTAAATAGTTTTCTCATCTCCTGTAAACGGCCGCCATTTTGGGTTTATTGAATGAAATTTTACAATCACTATTATAACCATTTGAAATAGTCTAGATCTCTTTTGTCTTTTGTGCATTGGCAATGCTGTGTGCAAATTAAGTTTTAGTTGCATCGAAACGCTGTTAAAATGATGTCCTAAAATCCGACGTTTCCACAGAGCGCAGGACAGTTCATAATAATAATAATAATAATAATAAAAACTTTATTTCAGTGTCCAGGTTATTTAACTTTTACAGCCTATTGGTGATACACATGCAAAAATCTCACATCTTGTGGCAAGTCTGCCAACTAGCCGTCAACAAGTTGTGTTCGCACTGCTTGTCCCAAGTTTTCAACAAGTTTGGAACAAGCTGTTAACAACTTGTAAAAACCTTGTTGATATTATCAGACTTGTTGCAAGGTTGTTCTAGCAAGTCCGATACAGCCTTGTGTCGTCAACCTTGTAACATTCTTGTTATATCATGACTGTCTCGGATTTGTTGGAACAAACTTGCAACAAGTCTATAATAATGCCATCAAGCTTGTTACAGGTTGTAAACAGCTTGTTCCAAACTTGTTACAACAACTGGGAACAAGCAGTGCGAACACAACTTGTCGACAGCTTGTGAACAGACTTGTGACAACTTGTTTGCAGACTTGTAACAACTTGTGCGTTTTTACTTGTGTACTCGTCTAAATGCACTCGACTAGAGCGTCTAAACGTTGGATCGTGAATGTAATTTGTTCAGGGATTCATTTACTTAAACCAGAGTAGCGAAACATGTCTGATATTAAACCTGGTTGCATGAAGACACTAGACTGGAGTGTTGAAACATTGGATCGTGAATGTAATTTGTTCAGGGATTCATTTACTTAAACCAGAGTAGCAAAACATTTCTGATATTAAATCTGGTTGCATGAAGACACTAGACTGGAGTGTTGAAACGTTGGATCGTGAATGTAATTTGTTCAGGGATTCATTTACTTAAACCAGAGTAGCAAAACATTTCTGATATTAAACCTGGTTGCATGAAGACACTAGACTGGAGTGTTGAAACATTGGATCGTGAATGTAATTTGTTCAGGGATTCATTTACTTAAACCAGAGTAGCAAAACATTTCTGATATTAAATCTGGTTGCATGAAGACACTAGACTGGAGTGTTGAAACGTTGGATCGTGAATGTAATTTGTTCAGGGATTCATTTACTTCAACCAGAGTAGCAAAACATTTCTGATATTAAACCTGGTTGCATGAAGACACTAGACTGGAGTGTTGAAACGTTGGATCGTGAATGTAATTTGTTCAGGGATTCATTTACTTCAACCAGAGTAGCAAAACATTTCTGATATTAAACCTGGTTGCATGAAGACACTAGACTGGAGTGTTGAAACATTGGATCGTGAATGTAATTTGTTCAGGGATTCATTTACTTAAACCAGAGTAGCAAAACATTTCTGATATTAAATCTGGTTGCATGAAGACACTAGACTGGAGTGTTGAAACGTTGGATCGTGAATGTAATTTGTTCAGGGATTCATTTACTTCAACCAGAGTAGCAAAACATTTCTGATATTAAACCTGGTTGCATGAAGACACTAGACTGGAGTGTTGAAACGTTGGATCATTTACTTAAGCCAGAGTAGCAAAACATGTCTGATATTAAACCTGGTTGCATGAAGACACTAGACGGGAGTGTTGAAACGTTGGATCGTGAATGTAATTTGTCCAGGGATTACATTCATTTACTTAAATCAGAGTAGCAAAACATTTCTGATATTAAATCTGGTTGCATGAAGACACTAGACTGGAGTGTTGAAACGTTGGATCGTGAATGTAATTTGTTCAGGGATTACAATCATTTACTTAAACCAGAGTAGCAAAACATGTCTGATATTAAACCTGGTTGCATGAAGACACTAGACTGGAGTGTTAAAATGCTGGATCGTGAATGTAATTTGTTCAGGGATTACATTCATTTACTTAAACAGAGTAGCAAAACATGTCTGATATTCTGGTTGTATGAAGACACTAGACTGAAGTTTTGAAACGTTGGATCGTGAATGTAATTTGTTCAGTGATTAGATTCATTTACTTAAGCCAGAGTAGCAAAACATGTTTGATATTAAACCTAGTTGCATGAAGACACTAGACTGGAGTATTAAAACGTTGGGTCGTGAATATATGGCGCGGTGGATAGGACGAATTTGACGATGATTTGTCTGTTATAGATAATCATGTGCACATTTAATACGATGACTCTGCACGTTTAACATGATACAGTGTAAATTTAATATGATAAAATGATGATACGCCTTTTATTTGATTAGCTACACGTTTTAGTTGATTATGTGCAATATTAATGCTATGCGCCTTGATTTGACGATTGTGCACCTTTGATTTGATCAAGACAAAGGCCCACAAACTTTTACGAATATTCGAACATATTCCAATCAAATATAATTTGTTCAGGGATTACATTCATTTGCTTAAACCAGAGTAGCAAAACATGTCTGATATTTGGTTTCATGAAGATACTAGACTGGAGTATTGAAACGTTGGATCGTAATGTAATTAAACCAGAGTAGCAATACATGTCTAATATTATAACTGGTTGCATAAAGACACTAGACTGGAGTGTTGAAATGCTAGATTACTTTTAAACCGCAAACCATTTACTTTTAACTAACGTTTCGAGTCCCAAAAATGGGACATTTTTAATCAAATGTTCCTAATAAAACTTAATATATATATGTATAGCAGCCAAAACCGGTTGAAAACCAGGTTTAATTTAATTTGTTTGCAGCGGTAATTACTTGCCCGTTTTTGCATCGCCGACTTTGTTTTAAGATACGCCAGTCTAACTATTCTTAGATTGAAATATCTTAAACGTGGCGGTTCGGCCTAGGTATTCTACAATAAGCTGTGACATCTTATCATTGTAGTTGTATCACTTGGGTGTATAATGGCCAATTAAATTTACGGTTATAACTTTGAAAAGTCGCTTTTCAGAAGACAGTAATGGCGGTTATTGGCTCGCGTGGGAAAGGCTAATTAGCGCAGCCGATCAGCGTGAGGCTATTGACGCGTGATTGCATGATCAAATTAAACCCTTCAAATGCTTTTAATAAACATAAAAAGTTTCACGTGAGAATATACAGTATCTTTTCTGCGACTGTTCACTTTAGATGCCAACGACGGCACAAGATTTGCCATATTTATATTACATGAATTCTTTATATCCCAAATTACCCCCGCTGACCAAAAATCTGCCAGCTCAAGCCCCGTTGTCATGACAATTAATGGTGGTCTATTTTCAACTAACCACATTTTCAGTGTTTACAAAACAAAACCCAAAATCCTGCTGGAATTTGTGGCTTTTCTCTTGGTTTATTGACTTTCTCTTGGGTGTTTGTGCTTAAACAAAGTCCTAGTCATGGTGCGCGAGCTAAATATGGACACCCAACGGCAAAACTTTTGGAAAGAAAGCATCCGAAAGGAGGCAATGGTACGGCTCGCTTGGCAGACGCAGTACTCGAAAGAATTCGCTCGGACCGGCGGTTTCGGCAAAAGCAGAGCCAAGAAAGTCAGTATAGACGTCGAACCGGTTATGAGAAACCTTCAAGAGAAGCTCGAGATAAAATTAAACGAATTACCGGACGCCGAAATGGAAACACAAGCCGAAACTACGAAGCCGACAAGTCAACCTAAAACTTACTTAAAAGAAATGCGACCGGCTTCCAAGCGAACTGTTAAAGTCCTCTACGAGGGTTTCAGCGCCGACGGCGGGGGACGTTATGCTTATCTAGAGAAGCGCAAGACCATTATCCCTGAGCGTAAATACGAGTTCCCGATCACAAGCTCGTTCGAATACGGATGGAAAAATAAAGATGCGATGAAAGGAATGAAACCAGCTCAGTACAGCCGTAGTTCAACCATTAAAGAGGAGTTTTACAGACCTAACGGCATTTTTACGACATAACTTTTGTAATTCTGTGTGAATAATAAACATTGAGAGGATTTTTTATAACGAGAGCTCATTAAAAGTTTTGTAGAATAAAATTGTGTCAGAATAAACTTTTAGTTGCATTGTGAACCCCCCTTCCATAAAACAGAACTGCCCCCCCCCTGTGGCTAGGAAACAATGTTGATTGATTTGTCCACCTTTGGGAAACATGGCTGGGAAACAATGTTTCCTGGTTTGTCCACCTTTGGGAAACATGGCTAGGAAACAATGTTTCCAGGTTTGTTCACCTTTGGGAAACGTGGCTAGGAAACAATGTTTCCTGGTTTGTTCACCTTTGGGAAACATGGCTAGGAAACAATGTTTCCTGGTTTGTCCACCTTTGGGAAACATGGCTATAGGAAACAATGTTTCCTGGTTTGTCCACCTTCGGGAAACATGGCTAGGAAACAATGTTTCCTGGTTTGTCCACCTTTGGGAAACATGGCTAGGAAACAATGTTTCCTGGTTTGTTCACATTTGGGAAACATGGCTAGGAAACAATGTTTCCTGGTTTGTCCATCATTGGGAAACATGGCTAGGAAACGATGTTTCCTGGTTTGTCCACCTTTGGGAAACATGGCTAGGAAACAATGTTTCCTGGTTTGTCCACCTTTGGGAAACATGGCTAGGAAACAATGTTTCCTGGTTTGTCCACCTTTGGGAAACATGGCTAGGAAACAATGTTTCCTGGTTTGTCCACCTTTGGGAAACATGGCTATAGGAAACAATGTTTCCTGGTTTGTCCACCTTTGGGAAACATGGCTAGGAAACAATGTTTCCCAGCTGATCTGCCCAAGAATTTAGTCATACATATTTTGAAATGCGGCTTTGAAACTACTGTATTGCCAATTTCAACTGGCTTTAAGTAATGATCAATAAACGAATGTACAACCACTATATATTTACATGTATTACGGTGAATCGTGTTCGTATTGTTAAACCATGTTTACACTGCGAATTACTCCAAGGCCAAGGCCAAGCAAATTGTGATACATTTGCACTGTTTAACAATCTTGATCGAGGTCTCTGTGAACGATTCTGTGAGAATTCAGGTTCGTGAGAAAATATATTTATATTTATATTGTATTATTTATAGCGGTGAGACCAGTGGTTTGTTTTGGCGAGCCAGCCCGCCTCAAAAGCCTCAGTCATGTAAACACGAGATGAAATCAGCACGGCAAAGCGAGCTACAGTAGCTTGGGTACCCGGGCTGGCTCGTCTCCATATAAACACACCCTAAGTCCATTACACTATCAAAATGTAGATTACAGCAAGGCTAGGCCACGCCAATTGCTAGCAGTGTAAAAATGCTTTAGACATGAAAATAAATGCACGATTAATCTGTGGTCAGAGGCTACTTATCACACGTTACTATGCTTTCTGCAACGCCGGATTCCTTGACAACTGCTTCTTTCGTCGTGATTCAGTCATCATCATTGTAACGGGACTGTGCCTTCAATCGGATAAAAATACAGCTGATGAAATTAGTCTAAAGGTCAAAAGTCACAAACTGTGGTTTTCAAATACAGTCGGGACACATGTTAAAAATTAGTCCAATTTCGCTCGACCTTTCAAATGGCTTCGCTAAATTGTTTAAATCAGTGTTTAAATCAGTGTTCAAAGGAAATGCTTTGACGTTATTATATTATTACATTATTATCATTGGTGAACCTCAATTGAAGAATAATTCGGAATATTACCGCATATCAACTGACGATATTTGTTCCTGACACCTTGTTTTTATTTATAAACGAGGATGAGAGTCGAGAATTTGCATGAGAGTTTTCTCAACTCTCATGCTCGGGTCAAACGAGAACAAGAGTTGCATGAGAGTTGATGAGAGTTGAGAAGCGAGAATTTGCATGAGAGTTTTCTCAACTCTCATGCCCCGGTCAAACGAGAACAAGAGTTGCATGAGAGTTGATGAGAGTTGAGAAGCGAGAGTTTGCATGAGAGTTTTCTCAACTCACATGGCCCGGTCAAACGAGAACAAGAGTTGCATGAAAGTTGACGAGAATTGAGAAGCGAGAGTTTGCATGAGAGTTGCATCGCATACGTACCATTTTCTTCAGTATGTCTCGTTCAGAGTCACCAGCCGTTGCTCCAAAGTCGCTGCCTTTCAACCCAAGGCCTGCCGTACGATTTCGCATTTTGGCCTGCAGAAATACAGACATTTCACTTAAGCTTGTCTGGAAGTTATGTTAATCCATAGCATGGCAATTGTACTACCCAGTCCCGACCCAATGATCATAATGTTCCATTGTCTTTTCATTGTTTTGAAAATCCCACTGTTCTCCATGCCATCCAGTCATGATCCAGTGATCAGAATGTTCCATTGTCTTTTCATTGTTTTGAAAATCCCACTGTTCTCCATGCCATCCAGTCATGATCCAGTGATCAGAATGTTTCATTGTCTTTTCATTGTTTTGAAAATCCCACTGTTCTCCATGCCACCCAGTCATGATCCAATGATCGAAGTGTTTCATTGTCTTTTCATTGTTTTCAAAAGCCATACAGTCATGATCCAGTGATCGGAATTGTCTATTGTCTGTTCACTGTTTTGAAAATCCCATTGTTCTCCGTGCATTTTTAATATACAGAGAGATAATGAAACGCTAAATTTTGAATTTTCCGTTCAACTTACCGAGATTGGGTTAACAATGCCCTGTCTAGCTTTCCCTAGCCCTGTACCAGCCGTCCAACCCATAGCCTGAAGCATTTTGTTGCCAATATTGTCTGATTGGATTCCATCTTTTGTCGGTTGTTCGTATGTTCTAAGTAGAAAAAAGATTAAAATAAGAAACAACCGTTTTTATAAAATGAGACTTTTAAATTTCTAACAGTCATGTGGAAAGATTTGCCACGAGATTCACTCACACTTTGCCTTTTTTCTTTTTCTTGCCAGGCTGTGCTGAATCTGGTTGACCAAATAACTCCCTCCTCTCTCTCGCTCTGTCGCGATATTTTTGCTAGATAAACAGTTGATGAGTAAATGTTTAAGAAGCAATTTTTTTTAATGTTCGCGTATTTGAAGTATTCGAAACCTAAAATCATTTCGGCGTTCCTCTCAAAATTATTTTGTTTTAGCTTTATTATGTAGTTTACACAGTTGGAAACCTTTTTAAATGTATCTGGCGGTTGAGAAACACAAAATAATAGTTAAATATTGTCAATGCAAATACAATTATCATCGATGCTGTAAAATTGACGCCATATTTATACAGCAATATATACTAAAGCAAACCTTACTGAACTTCAGACATCCATTTTACACAAAGTACCACCCTACCTCTCTCTGTTGTTTCTCATAATCGTCTATCTCAGTGAAAGACATTTTTAACTTCTTTTGGACTAACATATTTTGCTAAAAAGAAAAGCATAAAGTTGCATGACAGAATAGAATATGTGAGAACAGTTTAGAACTGATAGAGCTATCCAGTATAAATAAAGTTAGTTTAGTTTAGGTTTCTCCCTGTAGTAACACTGGATCAATAAGAGATGATCCTTACTTGACCTCTAGAAAGAACAGTTTAGAACTGATAGAGCTATCCAGTATAAATAGAGTTAGTTTAGTTTAGGTTTCCTCCTGTAGTAACACTGGATCAATAAGAGATGATCCTTACTGGACCTCTAGGAAGAACACTTTAGAACTGATAGAGCTATCCAGTATAAATAAAGTTAGTTTAGTTTAGGTTTCCTCCTGTAGTAACACTGGATCAATAAGAGATGATCCTTACTGGACCTCTAGGAAGAACAGTTTAGAACTGATGAGCTATCTAGTATAAATAAAGTTAGTTTAGTTTAGGTTTCCTCCTGTAGTAACACTGGATCAATAAGAGATGATTCTTACTGGACCTCTAGGAAGAACAGTTTAGAACTGATAGAGCTATCCAGTATAAATAAGTTAGTTTAGTTTAGGTTTCCTCCTGTAGTAACACTGGATCAATAAGAGATGATCCTTACTGGACCTCTAGGAAGAACAGTTTAGAACTGATAGAGCTATCCAGTATAAATAAAGTTAGTTTAGTTTAGGTTTCCTCCTGTAGTAACACTGGATCAATAAGAGATGATCCTTACTGGACCTCTGGGAAGAACAGTTTAGAACTGATACTGTGATAGAGCTATCCAGTATAAATAAAGTTAGTTTAGTTTAGGTTTCCTCCTGTAGTAACACTGGATCAATAAGAGATGATCCTTACTGAACCTCTAGGAAGAACAGTTTAGGGCTGATAGAACTATCCAGTATAAATAAAGTTAGTTTAGTTTAGGTTTCCTCCTGTAGTAACACTGGATCAATAAGAGATGATCCTTACTGGACCTCTAGGGAGAACAGTTTAGAACTGATAGAGCTATCCAGTATAAATAAAGTTAGTTTAGTTTAGGTTTCCTCCTGTAACACTGGATCAATAAGAGATGATCCTTACTGGACCTCTAGGGAGAACAGTTTAGAACTGATAGAGCTATCCAGTATAAATAAAGTTAGTTTAGTTTAGGTTTCCTCCTGTAGTAACACTGGATCAATAAGACATGATCCTTACTGGACCTCTAGGGAGAACAGTTTAGAACTGATAGAGCTATCCAGTATAAATAAAGTTAGTTTAGTTTTAGGTTCCCTCCTGTAGTAACACTGGATCAATAAGAGACGATCCTTACTGGACCTCTAGGGAGAACAGTTTAGAACTGATAGAGCTATCCAGTATAAATAAAGTTAGTTTAGTTTAGGTTTCCTCCTGTGGTAACACTGAATCAATAAGTGATGATCCTTACTGGACCTCTAGGAAGAACAGTTTAGAACTGATAGAGCTATCCAGTATAAATAAAGTTAGTTTAGTTTAGGTTTCCTCCTGTAGTGACACTGGATCAATAAGAGATGATCCTTACTGGACCTCTAGGAAGAACAGTTTAGAACTGATAGAGCTATCCAGTATAAATAAAGTTAGTTTAGTTTAGGTTCCCTCCTGTAGTAACACTGGATCAATAAGAGATGATCCTTACTGGACCTCTAGGAAGAACAGTTTAGAACTGATATATCCAGTATAAATAAAGTTAGTTTAGTTTAGGTTTCCTCCTGTAGTAACACTGGATCAATAAGAGATGATCCTTACTGGACCTCTAGGAAGAACAGTTTAGAACTGATAGAGCTATCCAGTATAAATAAAGTTAATTTAGTTTAAGTTTCCTCCTGTAGTAACACTGGATCAATAAGAGATG